AGAATGAAGGGTAACCTGAAAAGTCACTTTATTAGCATACTTGAGCTAAAGCAGAAATTTCAAGGCTGGATTGCTCCACACTGGGCACATGGATGAGATTTCTCTTTGGTTCTGTCTCATGTGAACCTGTCTTCCTATCCTGACTGTCGTGCACCTGTTCATCCTACTTATCACCATACTTATCACCCATCTGGGTTGGTAGAAGAGCCCCATCCCTGGATCCCTCCCTTTGTTCTCATTTTTTCTATCCATCCTTTATACAATGGAGAAAAGGATATTTCAAAGTAAGCCTGTGAATGTATCTAATTGGTGTAGTACACACACACATCACGTATTCCTGAACCTTACAAGTGGAATCAAAAACTGACATATGTATCTGGGTGTACCCTAAAGATATGCTAAGTGAATAAAGAACAAATGCTGCATAATTCTGCTGCTTCAGATACTCAGAATAGTCAAACTCCTAGCGATAGATAAAACAGTGGTTCCCAGAAGCCTGGAGAGTAAGACATTTCATTTGGGAAAATTAAGTAGATTTGGAAATGGATAGTGGTAAGGGTAGCACAAGAATGTGTACGCATTTAATGCCAATGAATTGAATGCTCTAAAATGATTTGAATGATGTTTTATGTTATGTGTTTTTTATCACAGCAAAAAAAAAAATCTTTAAGAGTAAATCTGGGTGGGTCTCAGGACGGGGCGTCTCATGCCTGGATCCCGGACGGCCGCCATGGGCACATGGTGAGCCGTGTCTGGGCGGCCAGTGCGCCATTGGTGCCAGGCTCTGTTGGCTGGCCGCCCGGCTGGGGAGCTCTAGGGATTTGGTTCTTTGAGTCGCTGCTTAATTAGCTCCAGGTTGAACTCATTGTGATTCTCGGACCTGAAACAGGCAGTAACTCTTCCTTTGTAAAATTTATAATCACTAATAATGCTGGGCACCAAACACCAGTCCATGCAGAAGCCTGGGCTTGGGGCTTTTCCTGCAAAAGTAGCTCCAACGGCTGGCTAATGTGTCAACTGGTAGGGAACAGAGTAGATCTGGTACGAATGAGCAAACCTTAGCCCACAAGTAAAACTAGAAACCAGGAGGGAGCAAAGGTCATGCCAAGCTAGGCTCTTGTACCTACGGGTCTGCGGGAGCCAGGGACACAAAGCCACAGTGTCTAAGGCAGAGGTTTGGACAGGTGAGGAGCTGTGCCAAGCTGAGTCAGAGCAACCACTGGCAAGCGAGTGAGCTATGGCTGGGAACAGACCCGGTTGGGGAACAAAGGGGACAACCCTAGCTGGGCTGAGGTTCCCACAAAGAGGCGCGTGGCCTGGAAGGGGGGCTTCGTTCTGATCTGGATACAGTTGCAGTCTCCCTTGGCACAAGTGTGGACTGGGATTGAATGCACCGAACCGGGCTGGACCCCGACTCCCCCTGGTGTTCTGGAGGACCAGGGCAGATGTGTGATAGACTAGGCAAGGTCTCAAACCCCTACTGAGCTATGTGTGAGCCATACGTAGGTATGGACAAACCATGGCTGGGCTGGAACATCCAACAGCAAGAACCAGATTGGGTGGAAGGCCAGTCAGGAAAAGCCACAGTTCCTGCTATGACAGAAGGTGGACTGAGTAGGGTTGGCTCATGGACCCACTGGTAAGCGTGTAACCTGGCATTGGGAGAGGTTCTGATGGAGGAGCCTGGGCAACTCCTCTGGCAGGACACAGACCCGGCAGGTCAGCGCAAGAAACATGATAGGAAACAGCCCAGAAAAGGCCATGGAAAGCTACCCACTAGCATACACTTGGCAGACGTGGGGGCAAGACCAGGCTGAATCTGTCCACGTCATCCACTGGCAAATCCAGGCACCAGTGTGGGTCGACCCAGGTTTGGTCGCAGCAAAGACTAGTGCACAATATGGAATGCCGAGGTGAGGTTGCCTGTACCGGAGGGGACCACAGCGTCCAACCAGCCTGAGAACAAGAAAGGAAGTAGGCAGAGCCGGCAGGGGAATAAGGGAGGGTTCCTTTGCAGGATAGCTACTTCCGCAGGAGAGCATGGGCTGGGATGGGGGCAGACCAGACTAGGCAGAGTTACCACACCTGTGCGCCTCATGTGGACTAGATCAGGGAAAAGCCGGGCTCGGCGGATTATTCCTACTGGTGCAAACAGAATTAAAGTGGGCGAGGTTTGTTTGAGCAGCATCAATTGGAATCTGGGAGTGGGAGAGGCCTGGGAGGGTAACAGTGGGCTCATCCCTCTTGGGTTACCACTTCCACGGGAGGACAAAAACTAAACAGTGGCTGGGGTGGAATGGGGTGTGAGACAGACTGGATTACTGCTACACTTACTGGCAAACCAGGGTAGGGGCGGTCCTGGTGGGGGTTATTGTGGGTCGCTCCAACTAGGCTGCAGCTCCCACTGGTTTAGGTGAGGGCCAAGTATGTGCTGGGCAGAACCAGGCTGGACTGCAACACCCATTGGTTCCAGTGGAAGTCGGGAGTGAAAACAGAACCAACCCAGCAATTACAACCACCAGCTGATTGGAGCGATGGACGGTGCCAGGCCCTGTACTTGTTAGCACATACAAGAAGTTTCTTTGGAGATCTTCCTAATCTAAATGCTGGACTCAGAACCCTAACGAAGAAAAGAGAGAAGACAGAACGGGTCAACCAACCATCTCAGCTATGATGGACTATGTCAATCAGTGGATTTTTCAAAGACCTCATAGTGCTTGGAGTGGCAAGATTGACAGCGATTCATAACTGTTGCAATATCAAAACCACTTGAGCAAGAACCTCAGAGCATGCCCTACACCCGGGACTTGGGGAGGGTGGGAAATTGGGTGGGCCTTCTCCCTTAATACCCCCCTTTTAAACATGAAAGTAACAATATGGAAAACATACTAGTATTATCCACTTTCCTGTAGCCCTTGAACCTTCTTACTCTAACTAAGTATGTAAAGAATGTCAAAATAAATTTTATTAATTAAAAAAAAAAAGAGTAAATCTGGCCGTATCATTTCCTACTCAGGGATTCTCACTGATGATTTACAGAATTAAGTTGAAACTTGGTGATATGACAGTAGAGAGCCTTTTGAATTGAACTGCAGCTTGTTTTTCTAATCTTGTGTCTGGTAGTGTCTATAACACACCTCTCAATCACATGGGCAAAGTGAAAGTTGCTAAGACTGAACCTTAGTCAGCTACTTCATTTCAGCTTCTGCTTTTCTTTGGGCTTTAATTCCAGTGTGAATTTCTTAATAGCCAGCATTCTTGTTGCCTATTTTTGCAGCAGTGATTGACAAGAGTTATTCTTTATTACCTTTCCATCCAAAGATCATCATCAAAGTAAGGACTGAGTTGACAGAGGTGGGCGAATTCCAGCACTGTTTGAAGTTTTGAAAGTGAATTCCTTCTAGCATTTAATATTCCCGGAGTCTCACTAATCTCACCACCTACCAACCATTCACATTGAAAAGTACTTTTGATGCATTGTATTAGTCATCTACAATCATATAACTAAGTTCCTCCAACTGCAACAACTGAACAAGATAATCAATATTATTTCAATTGCAGTATCAGTAATTTGGGAGCAGCTTAGTTGAATAGTTCTGGCTCAGTGTTTCTTACAACAATGCAGGAGAGATGTCGATGGAGGATGCAGTTAGTTGCTGGATTAACTGGCACAAAAACATGAGGTACTCAGTTGCTCAGTGACGTGGCTGTTGGTAGGAGCCTCATCTCATGCGTTATGCCCTCTTCCTCATGGCTGCTGATGCCCAAGTGCACGGTGTTCACTAACAATACTTTCTTCTAAATCCTTTGGCACAAGAAAACTGTGCAATACCTTGTTTTGTGTTCAGCCATTGATCTTTAATTCCAACCAAACTGAAAGCACTGAAAAAGGCAGTTCCATATTTTACAGTTCACTATAACCCCAATTCATCCAGAACTTTTCTGTATTCACCCTGTTAATGATGAAGCTACAGATGCCCAACATAATGTAATTTGTAGTTAAATTTTGTAGTAAATGATCCTTTATCACAAATGGTATTAGGTTATATTGTGGCCAAAAATACAGGCTTGTCATAAATGTGTTCTTTTATATTGATTAACATTCCAGTTCTGAACACTGTTGTGCTTCTTGAAAAGTGCAAACACAACGTAGACAATTAAAAAGATTATTGATATTTAAAATATCAAGGCCTTAAAAGTGATAATTTTTTTATCACCACCTGTTCTTAATCTTAGAATTGGAGGGAGTAAAAATACAAATCAGCTCAATCTAAATGATGAATCTATTCTAATCACACATCCCAAAATGACAGAAAAGCAGTTTACCTTAAACTAAAAAACATCCTATTTTTCCAAGGTTAGAACAGCAATAATAAGAGCATGAATTCCTCAGTTTGAGTTAGACGATGATATCCATTAATTTATCTAATCCTCATTTCAATTTCATGTGTGTTATTCTTAACGTCCTTTAGATATAAGAAAAAACTGGACAAACAAGTGATTTTCCTAACAGTGTGGTAGAGTTGGAATCCCAAGTATGTAAAAGAAGGAATATTTAAATAATCTTTTTTAGTGCCAACATTGGAGTACAGTGGGTCAAGCCACTGCTTGCCAGGCTAGCACTCCACATTGGAATGTCTGCTAAAGTCTGACCATCCAATCAGGTTCCCTGCTAAGGTACATGGGAAAGCAGAATAAATTGGTCAGAGTTCTTGTCCCCTGCCTTTTATGGGCTAGATCTGGATAGAGTTTTGGGTTCCCTAGCTTCAGCAAAGCCAGTTTCTAGCTGTCACAGCAATTTGAGGAACTAACCAGTAGATGAAAACTCTCCTTCTGTCATTCAGACTTTCAAAGGAATAAAATAAAACTTTTTTAGGTATATTTATTTGAAATGGAAACAGACTAGTAAACCAAGAGCTCCCAGTTGCTGGTTCATTCTTAAATCTTCAGAAGCAATTGATACTGAACTAGCAGCCGGGAATTCAATCTAGGTGTCCAACATGGTAGTAGGACTTAACTACTTAATCGGTGGCCCCCTTGCTCCTAAATATACTAAAACTCTGACATCTTTGTCCATCCACTATATAGTATTGCTTCCTGTGCTGTATTTTATCAGTTCAGAGTGGTGGCAGCATTATAACAAAAGGTCTAAGAGCAGCCATCTCCCTCAGGGCTTAGTTTTTCCAGAGTTTCCTTCTCAGAAACTCAGACCTCCAGAGACTACAGCTTTAAAGAGGAAGTGCTGAGATGTAGGCCCTTGCCTTAACCAATAATGCTCTTGATCTGAATTGCAGGAGTACTCGGAGCACCGCTTTTATGGGAGGACTCAGCAAACCAGTTCCTGCGTCTCAAAAGACACGTATATTTGCAAGATTACTGGGACCCAGATAGTAGCCCAAATGCTTGGGGGAAAGCATTGGCTGATCAGGTACTGTTGTATTTGAGTCAAATGGTCAAGTTCAGCACTGTAACACAATGGGTTAGGCCACCATTTATAATACCGACATGTATGTGAGCATCTGTATGCGTCCTGACTACTCCAATTCTTTTTTTTTTAAGATTTATTTTATTTTTATTCGAAAAGCAGATATATAGAGAGGAGGAGAGAAAGAGAGGAAGATCTTATGTCTGATGATTCACTCCCCAAGTGAGCACAATGGCCAGTGCTGTGCCGATCCATAGCGAGGAGCCAGGAACTTCCTCCAGGTCTCCCACATGCAGGTGCAGGGTCCCAAGGCCTTGGGCCATCCTTGACTACTTTTCCAGGCCACAAGCAGGAAGCTGGATGGGAAATGGAGCTGCCGGGATTAGAACCGGTGCCCATATGGGATCCTGGCACGTTCAGGGTAAGGACTTTAGGCTGCAGGCCATGCCGCCGGGCCTGACTCTTCCAATTCTGATCTACCTTCCTGCTAAAGTATCCTGGAAAGCAGACAATTGTGGTTCAAGTACTTTGGGCACTGCTGCTCAAGTGGGAGACCCAGATGAAGTTTCAGCCTTCTGACTTTGGGCTGACCCAGCCCTAGATTTGAGGTTATTTGGGTGAATACCAGTGAATGGAAGAATTGTCTTCGTCTGTGTCTCCCTCTGTCCCTGTGACACTGACTTTCAAACAAATCTTTTTTTTTTTCTTTATTGTTGCTTACATTGTATTATGTGGTACAGTTTTATAGGCGCTGGGGATTCCCCCCACCCCTCCCATACCCCTCCTCCCATGGTGGATTCCTCCACCTTGTTGCATTACCATAGTTCAAGTTCAGTTGAGATTCATTCCTTGCAAACACATGCCTAGCATAAAGTTCAGCGTCTTATTGTCCAGATAAGTTCAGTGGCCTCTTGGGGAGACCTTCTCTGGTCTGAAGGTAGGTCTAACAGAGTAAAGATCTGGTCAGTTAAAAGCCCCAACAAGACCTCAGAATCAATATACAACATTATGGAATTAATTGACATAGTATTGGGTAAACAATATGTTAAAAATAATGCAAGTTCCATTCTTCGAAACATCTGGGTTGAGACAGTATCAATGACAGGTTCAAAAAATAACAAACAACCAAACAAAAAATTACAGGTTAAATCAAGGCAAACATGTGGTATCTAACCTTTTGGGATTCACTCATTTCCCTTAGCATTATAGTTTCCAGTTGGGCCCATTTAGCCACAAAGAACTGCATTTTGTTTTTTTTAATAGCTGAGTAGTATTCCATGGAGTAGATGAACCAAAGCTTTCTTATCCAGTCTTCTGCTGATGGGCATTTCGGTTGCTTCCATGTTTTTGCAATTACTGATTGTGCTGCAATGAACATAGGGATGCATGTTGGTTTGTCGTAAAACAGGTGTTTTGGATATATTCCTAGGAGTGCTATTGCTGGGTCATATGGTATGCAGATTTTGAGTTGTTTGAGTGTTCTCCAGACTGATTTCCATAAAGGCTGTACCAATTTGCAGCTCCACCAGCAGTGGAGTAGGGTTCCCTTTTCCCCGCATCCTCGCCAGCAAGCGTCGTTGGTGTTCTTGTTTATGTGGGCCAATCTTACTGGTGTTAGGTGGTACCTCATCGATGTTTTAATTTGGATTTCCCTTATTGCTAGGGAGCTGGAACATTTTTTCATATGTTTGTTTGCCATTTGGACTTGTTCCTTTGTGAAATGTTTGCCCATTTCCCGTGCCCATTTCTTGAGTGGCTTGTTTGTTTTGGTTTTTTGGTTGTTTTGAAGTTCTTTGTATATCCTGGAAATTAGCCCCCTATCACCTATATTGTGTGCAAAGATCTTCTCCCACTCTGTGGGTTGCTTTTTTACTTTGTTGATTGTTTCCCTTGCTGTACAGAAGCTTCTTAGTTTGATGAGGTCCCATTTGTTTATTCTGTTCTCAACTGCTATTGCTTTTGGTGTCCTTCTTAGAAAGTCGGGACCTACTCCTAGGTCTTGCAGGGTATTTCCTACATTTTCTTGCAAGAGTTTAAAGGTTTCTGGATGTAGGTTTAGGTCTTTTATCCATGTAGATTGGATCTTAGTGTATGGTGATAGATGAGCAGACAAATAAACAAACACAGAAACAGCAAAAAACCTCAGTGGTCCATCACCATTTAGCTTTTTTTAAATTGGCAAAACATCGGTGGTCATTGGCACACTATTAACCTAGTCCTACCTTATTCTCTCTAGCCGCTCTGAGCTATGCATTCCCTTTCCTCTCTATGGAACAGCTTGTGCCTGGCAAATGCCGCCTCTTTGTTAAAGTCCAAGCTCACATGGGGCCTCCCCTGTGAAGCACTTCCCTTTCCATTTCCCTTCCCTCTTGTCCTTGTGAATGCTGTTCACATCTGTACGTTCTCCTCTCGTTGGAGGTGTTTGTTTCATGTGCTCAAGATCCTTACCTAGAACTACCAAGGAAAGGTTTTATGAATAAAGGTAATTATTCTTTAAATCTAAGAAAATGATTGCTAAGTAGTCAAGGTTGAATAAATCATTATGTGTTTGGTTGGGCAGATGGATAATAGTGGTTCCATTTTAATTCCGTCTCAGCTGTTCAATATATATTTTCTTCTGTGATAATTATTCAAATCCTTTGATTTGATTACCCTTTGTACATTTTTCTATTCCTTTTCACCCCAATCCTGAAAGAAATAAAAGAGAAATTTGTATTTGACTGCTTTATTTCCTGTTCACTTTTCCTTTTTAAGAGAGATGGAAAGATAATGCTGATCAATTGGTTCACTCTCCCCAATGCCTGCTACATCTGGGATGAAGCCAGGCTGATAGAAAGAGCCAGAAACTCAGAGCAGGGTTCCCATGTGAACAGCAGGAACCTGATTGCTTGAGAGATCTGCGGCTCCCGCTCAGGGTCTGCCATAGCAGAAAGCTGAAGACTAGAGCTGGGTACTGAACCCAACTATTTTGAGATAGGTCTCTGAAAAAAACACGTTAACCACTAGCATAAACACCAACCCCTATGTTTGCTTTTCCAACTGAAGAAGATATTTTAACTCCAAGACAAATGAATTATTTAAAAATTTCAATTGTCTATTATTTCCCCTCTTTCAATTTAGCAATTCGGGAATCAAAGTTACAAAGCAAGTTTATTCATTAATTACTTGTTCACTCATCTTTTCTTCCCATATGCATCAGGCTTTCATCAACATAAGGAACGAGGGTTGTGTAAAGTGGTAGGAACTGAGTGTCCTTGCTTCACAGTGGCCTGCATGGCTGAGTCTTTATGATCTACCAGCATGAACTTGCTTCTGCTCAGCATTTGCTGATGAAAATCACCAGCTTGATTAATGTATCTTGTTTTATCCCCATTTGTCTTGAACAGGCATCATTTAGAGCTATTACAGCAAGATGTTTACTTATTTGGCAAATTAAATAACTACATGAGTTGGTGGACTGTCCCTTCTTTATGAAATGCTGACATTTCAGAGTACAAAACTGCCACTGACTGTAGACCAATTCAGGTCATGTCAGGTACATCCATGTAGAAGATTCTACCACACTGCTTCATTTCAGTGGCTCCCACAAATGGTGCAAACGCCTTGAGGGCTGATGCAAACAGACAGCCAAAAAAAATGTAAAAACAAATCACGGTTTGGAATAATTTTTTCATTATTTGTTTCTTCCGGCTCTCTAGGAGTATTTACATGATATTAGAACTGCTACACCATGCGCTTTACATGACTCGTTTCCTTTCATTTGCAGGCTCATGACACATGGCGTGCTTTGAAAACAACTGCACAGTACTATTTGGATGTGAAAACCTTCACATTTGACATATCCACTGTCCAATAAATGTGTACCACTGGTTTAAGTACAGCAAAAATGGTGGGAATCAACACAAAAAAGGTGCCAAAGCCACAGCCTTTGAAGAGCGGGGGACAAATCCATGCCATCTGCTGGGTTACTTATTATGTCTGTCTAGAAGAGTTGGTGGAAAGAGTAATGAACGTCCATGTATAGCCTTAGAATCAGAAGTTTTTGATAAAATGTAACTCTTAAAATGAAAACAACAATAAAATCTGTAATATTAATATTGATCAAAAGGGGGGCTTTTATGAGAAAAGGAAAGCAAGAAACAAAAAAAAAATAGTATCATCTAAACATTCTATTGATAGCTGTTGCTTCCTACTGCCGTTTTTAAGAGGGCTACCTCAAGGTTCTTTATTTCTAAAAAATAGGAATTTCTCAGATTGATCTGATCCCCTCTCCTTCTTTATATGTCTTAAGACTATGCTTTTGAAACTGTTTTCTTTGAACTTGTACTGCTGAAGGCAGTGAAGAAAATAATCTCAACTTGTATCAGTTTATTACTAGCAGATAGTGGCTGGGAAGCTACAAGGAATCACAGCAAGTCTGTAAATGCAAACTTCCTTAAAAGTTTTGCAGAATGAATTCAAGTTTCTCTTGTGTTCCTGTGTCCTGTATTTTTCTGACTTTGTTTTATTTTGAAGTAATCCTCATATCTTATTGTACAGGTATATTTATTAATCTTTTCATTCAATAAAATTGGAAAATTAGTTGTGGAAAAAGTTGACTACATTTATGCTTTAATTTTTCATGCATTCAAGGAATATTACTTACATCAAGTCTTACCCCAAGTCTTCACTTTAACAATTTCTTTTGGACTTGTGTAAAGTGAAACATTTTTCCCAAGATCACTATTGATCTTACCCCTATAATGATCTTAAGCACTTTTTTCGGACATCAGCAAAATCAGCAAAATTCATACCCCAAGAAGCTGCACTGTGAACACCTTGGCCCCATGTTTACCAGGCATTGACAACTGCCCATGGCCCTCATGTCTCATCCTGCTGTCTAAAGGCATCCCCAGTGACGAATTTGAGGCTAATTTGTGATTTATAATGCTAGCTGTTATCCAATTTATAAAAATATAAACATTTTTAAATCAAACTACAATGACACAGCAAAGATAAGGAAAATTAATAATTTGGGTTTGCAGTAGGAAATAAATTGGAAAGTATACACAAAAATTCCTACATTATTTCAACAATAATATCCATTTTGCTATTACGAAGTTCCATTCTTCAATTAATAAGAAATTAGGAAACTGCTTATTATTCAGGGTTCTCCAAAAAAAACCATCCATCAATATTTTTCACTCAGTTATAGATTAATATATATACAATTATTACATGTTATAGTTGTTCTTTTTAAAAAGATATTTATCTTTTGGAAAGGCAGAACCACAAGAAGAAGAGAGACAGAAAGAACTCCCATCCACTGGTTCACTTCTCAAATGGATGCAACGTCGAAACAATTGTGCTGGGCCCTATAGCTTTTCTGTCATAGCATATAGAATATGTGTTTGTGTTGTTCTTATTATAGTGTATACTGACACTATTATAAGATATTTTAAGGTTAGGATTTAATTGCAATTCATTTCGCAGCTCAAGCCACATCCAAGATAGTGTGTCAGGGCAGCAAATATCTGACGGTTCTTGCTCCAGCAGCACATATGCTAAAATTGAAATATTTAATGAATATATAAAACATTGACGAAAAGGTGCCTATCAGGAAGGTAAGTGGAATTCACAAGCTTTTATTATTACTCTTCTTATATCAGTGGCAGGACAAATAAATAAGATGTGATACAGTTTATCCAATTGCTGTCTAGTAGCTCCATGAGATCTGAATAAAAACTTGATAGCAATTTCTCACGATTTATCTTCAGTTTCCCCCATTCAGCCAACCGAGTCTCAAGAGGCATCTACTCTCCTGTGCCCAATCATTATAATTTAAATAGAAAAATTCATAGAAGGGAGCTACTGTACACATAAAACAAATTAAAAGTGAAAGTATTTATTTTTATACATTGGATTTTCCTCATTCCATTTATTTTTGTCAGATTGATCTGAAACATCTCAGGCAATTGAGCCAGGCAGAGAATACACACATCTCACACTGTTATCGTCAATGACAGCAACAATCCAAATGAATTTTATTGAAAGTAATTTAGCATTGACTGGTTGAGTGTATAAACCACCCATATGAAACAAAGAGTTACCAGACTTCCTCAAATTAAAGACAAAAAAAAAAAAATAGGTGTTTGGAGATTACATCCCAAATTGGAATTGTCTCAGAGGGTAGTTCAAAGTGTCAAAATGAAATAAAGTGTCCAGATTTGTGTCCAAAAGTAACAAAAATAGTCATGTTTTCCGTTTCTGACAATAATACTGGAGGAAAAATCTAGTTATTTTTAATACATAATTTGAGGCAAATTATACCCTTTTTGTGCCCTTTTCCATTTGTTCTGTAAAGGTGTATTATAAAAATAGCCCTTTGATTATATTTAAACAAGGAGGTAACTACAAAGAGGAAGAAAATAGCCTGATTTTTAGAATAGCTCAAATTTTAAATACCTTTATATCCCAGACATAGGACATCTGATACTTCTCCCACAAGGTTTAATGTTTCATTTCTGGGTCTGCCCCTTCATGGAGGAAACCAAGAGTTGTGTGTGGTCTGTTATGTAAAATATAGCCTCTGCACTATAATCTGAGGTCATCACCCACTACCATTATCTTCTTGGGCGAGTTAGTTAGCTTAGCTCTGATTGGCTTCCTCCACTCACAGACGGGAATGATGAAAACAGTCCTTGTGTTGCACAGAGTCAGCATTGAAAGAAACTTAACTTTTGCCAAATGGATCCTCTGTGAATACCAAAGAACCCCCTTTCCATGAGTTCCACAGGTGGGATTCAGCTCATTACAGATCCAAAATACCCAGAGAACATTGTGTTTACTGAACATAGGCAACAACCAATTTTCCATAATGTAATTCTCTACATGGGATAAACAACTGTTTACATAGTGTTTCCCCTGTACCAGGTATTATATGTAATCTCAAGCTAATTTTAAGCATACAAGACAATCCCAGTCAATCATTTCTTTATCATTGAACTTCTGCATTTTAATTCACATACTACCATGGATCATTTCCTCATAATAAACCATAAAATGGCTATCCAAATGGTTCTTTTTTTTTTTCTTTACAGGAAAGTGGGTAAGACCATTGTTTCCAACTAATATCACCATTTTTTTCCCACCCAGAATCCTACCTATCCCAGGCACCCATTGTGGGGCATGCTCCGAGGGCCCTGCTTAAGCAATTTTGATAGTTCAACAGTTCTGAATTGCTGCTGTCCCAATCATGATGAGATCTGTTCAGAATCCACTGACTGGCATAGTCTCTTCATTGTTGGGGTTCTGAGATCAGCAGTTCAGTTGGAGGAATCTCCAAAGGAACTTCATCTGAGGTGATCCCAGACCTGATTCCTGTGTGTGCTTGCCAGCACAGGGTCCAGCACCGTCCATCATCCCAATCAACTTATGGACATGCTGGTTGTTGCAATTGCTGAGTCAGTTCTGTTTCCAGCCCTGTCTTCCACACAAACCAGTGGGTGTTGCAGTCCAGCCCGATCCTGCTCACTTCACAATTAGCCATCACGCAAACCAGTGGGAGCTGCAGCCAAGTTGTGACGACTCCCCAAAACTCCACCAGTCCAGCCCCATTCCCTGATTCTCATGCTTGCCAGTATGTAACACAGACTTGCTCAGTCTGTCCCACATCCCATTTAATGCTCTTTCAAACACATGCTGGCAGGTACCACTCTGTCTAGCCACACCTGCCCCTGTCCTGGTTTTTGTGCTCTCCAGTGGGAGTGGTAACCCAAGAGGGAGGTGCCCACTATTTCCCTACTAGGACACTCCCACTACAGATTATGCACTTTCCAGGTGGTTCTGGAGTTTAACTTGACAGAATTAGCCCCCAGTGCCAGTCTCTGCCAGCTGATGCTGTGGCAAAGCCCAACCAATGCTCACTCACTCTAGTTAATGCTTGCACCAGTTGGAATAGTCAGCCCACCTGGCTTTTCCCTGATCTAGCTCACGTGAGGCCCACAGGTGTTGTAGCCCTGCCTGATCTGGCCTGCCCCCATCCCAACTCACACTCTCCAGTGGGAGTGGTTGTGCAGTAGGAGAGCCCACATCCCCCTGCTGGCTTTGCCCCCTCCCTCTCTCCCTGGTTTTCATGTATGCTGTTTGAGTGCTGCAGCCACATCTGGTATGGCTCACTCAACTTGGCATTCTGTAATGTGCACTGGTTAGTGTTGCAACCAAACCTGGCCCGACCCACACTCTATTCTGGTGCTCAGATTTGACAGCTGGTAAACTGGATCAGCCTGGTCTGTCCCCTACCTTTGCCAAATGTATGTCAGTGGGTATATTTCTCTGGCCTTGTCTGGGTTGCTCCCTATCACGGTTCTTGCACTCACCTGCAGGGACTGTGTCCTGCCAGAGTTTTCCAACATCCTCTATCAGAACCTCTCCCTATGCCAGATATAAACGTACTAGTGGATCCATGGGCCAGCCCTCCTTGCTGCCCTTTTACTGTTGGGTATTTCAGCCCAATCAAGGCTTGTCCATACCCAGACACTGCCACACATGGCTCAGTAGGGGCAGAGACCTAGCTTAGTTCGTCCTACATCTATCCAGGTTCTCCAGAGCACCAAATGGTGATGGTGTCTAGCCCAGTTCAGTGTGTCCAGTCCCAGTTCACACTTGTTCCAGGGTCGATTGCAGCCATATCCAGACCAGAACACAGCATACTCAGGCTCCCGCACTCTCCCGTGGGAACCGCAACCCAGAAAGTGTGTACTCTCACAGCTCCCCAACTAAGCCTATTCCCAGCACTAGATTACATGCATGCCAGTGGTTTTGGGGACCCAGCTTGGCTCAGCCCCTCACCTGTCTCAACCATTGCCTTCAATGCTG